GTCACTCTGGTCCTGCTTTGATGTCTTCTTGACAGTCTAAGTCTACTAACTATAAAAAATCCTTATTTCACTAATGTCTTTCACAGATAAGCACTCTCATCTGAAAACAGTCTCATCAGGAAACAGTATTTAGCAAGAAACTATGGTATTCAAGTTGTTTCCATTCAGAGGTAACATTTCTCTTAAATTGACTAAAGAACTTCTACAATCACTCTAATAAAATCACTATGTTATCTGAGTCCCCTTGGCCCTTGATCCCTTTGTTTCTCATATATCTCTTCTCTCCTTCCCCTTCACTTTGTTTCTTTCATTTTCCTCCTTAAACTCTGGGGCCAAGAGTGATCTAGGAATCCCCTCATTTAAACCATTGAGGTTCCTCATGCAGTTACTCTAAATAACCACACATAAGTGATATCATCCTGTGTTTGTCTTTCTTCTTCCATTATAATTCATTTAACATGATTGATAATGTGAAGTAATCACAGAGTTAAATATTCAATCAGAGTAAATGACACTGAAATCACGATATCCAAATTTTAATAACCAGATTTAAAAGGTGCCTGTCAAGATGTTAGACTGGGACTTAGGTGGGGAGGTAGGAGAATGAATCTTGGAACACTGATGGATGGAAGGTGACACTGATAGTTGGATTGGCTATGGAATATTATATGTTAAAAACCCAACTATGAATAACTTTATAATTTATTGTGCTTTAATAAAATAATTTTTATATTTATTTATTGAATCACTGTGGGGAAAGTTACAAAGCTTTCAGGTGTAAGTCTCGGTCATGCAATGATCAAACACCTTTCCCTTCTCCAGTACTTATTTTTCACTACCAAGAACCCCAATACCCCTCCCTCCCCTCCCAATGCCTGTGAGGCACATGAACTACACTTAACTCTCCATCCACCTTGATCACACTCATCACTTCAACAAAAGATGCACCATTATTGTTTAGAGTTTACACCCAACAATCAGAACTGCTGAAAAGGCACTGTGAAATAATTTGTTTTCTACAGGTGGTTATGAGAACCATATGATTTTGGATTTCTGATATCTTACTTATTAAGTCTGGAGGGATTTCTGCCAAGGGCCAGACAATTACGAGATTGGCCTCTGTGGCTCTGGAGACATGGCCGCGACGGAGAGCTGCCCATGGGGAGCAGCCGACGACCTCGGTAGGGCGAAAAGGACGAGTCGGTAACGACCCCTTTCCCATGAGGCTGCAGTTGCCCCGTCAACTCACCGCCAACTCATACCTGGCTTTCCAATAAGCTTAGAGGTGGCTGTCATCTTGGGCCCGGGGAGAAAAAGGCGGAAGGGAGTGACACCCCTTCCCTCCTGGGGAGACATGGTACCGTGGATTAAGGCATAGTCAGTTCACTTTTCTGCCGCAAGCTGCTGAGCTCTGCATTAAGTCCTTGCACCTCTGGAGCCATGGCTGTGCCAGAGAGCCGCTCCAAAATAAAATTTTTGAAAGGAAAATTAAATTATTATATTATGATAATTCTGTGACAAATGAAAGCAAAATTTCTTTTCTGATGTGACCCAATTGTCTTATGATAACTCCCTTATTAACTCGCTAGAAGTCTAGAAGCCATATGCTCACAACTGATTTCCAAAAAAAAGCTATTTTATTCTGCATGATATGTAACCTTCACATCATTGCAAAAGAGAAAACTGAAAATTTAGAAACAATTTATTGGGATTCAAGTATTGTCAAGCATATATACACAGGTGCTCACTGGCACATTCATACCCAGGAACATATACAAGTATATCTATTGCAATAACTGAACCATCTTAAACCTTGGTGGGCATGCCTAAATATTAACTTTTTCTCTCATGCATATACCACGTTCAACCACAAACAAATAAAGATTTAGCTGGACAATGAATAAGGAGACTTCGATGCTCTCGCTTTAGTGTCAACCTCTTTTCCAGTTCTTTTGTTCAGTTTGCCCTATTATTTTAAGTTTGTCTCATTCATATAGGCAATGAACTATTAATATTTACATACTTTTATTTGAATTCAATTTGACAAACTTTTCAAACTAGAAATAAAGAAATGTATTAAAATAAATACAAAGTCATCTTTCTCAAAAGAATTTTGTTTGAAAGAGGTGATATTTTAACTCTGAAAATGAGCTCGAATTATTATAGAAAGACATGGGTAAAAAGGAGCCAGAAGAGGTTTTTTAAACATAGGCACATAAAAGATTAAAAGGGCAATGTTCTGCGAGTCCCACAAAGGCTGAATACAGTTGTAGCTTTTAATGCGCCACAATAAATGCTGGTATTACTTGTGTGCTGCATTACAGAGGTCTTTAATGACAGATGAATAAATGCATGCCCTGTTCTATAAGCAGTGGATAATCATGAAAAGTTTTGATTGGGAATAACATGACTAGGTTTAGGTTTTAGAAAACTGTAATTTTCTAAAAATTAGACAGAAAAACCTAAACAATGGAATGAAATATGTAAGTAAGAAGAATATAGCTACATAATGTTTGGGAAAAGGGAGGGGAATACTAATTTTGAGGGTGAAATATTGGGACATAAGGGGGGAAAAGAAATGCGTAATTTAACAAGGTTCATTTTCTGTTGAGTAATTTTTTAAAAAATTTACCTACTCTTTCCTTTGGCTTTTTTATCCTTGCTGATGAAATTTCTCAGAGTGGTATAAAAAGGAGAGACAAATTTGTTATTATCTTGTTCTAGTATAGAATTAAAATTCTTTTTTCTCATTACTTGTATGTGAGAGAAAATAATGTGCAACGTGTGGGTGGAGCGATAGCACATCGGGTACGACATTTGCCTTGCACGTGGTCGACCCGGGTTTGATTCCTCTGCCCCTCTCGGAGACCCTGGCAAGCTACTGAGAGTACCTGCCCACACGGCAGAGCCTGGCAAACTCCCGTGACATATTCGATATGCCAAAAACAGTAACAGCAAGTCTCATATTGGAGATATTACTGGTGCCTGCTCAAGCAAATTGATGAACAATGGGAGGACAGTGCTACAGTGCTACGGTGGCTATACTATATGGTAGTGAGAGCTGTAAGAATGGTTAATGGTTATCTACATATTAATAGCAAAGTCAAAGATTATCTCTCTTGTGTTAAAATTAGAGTATATTCTCTATTTTAGATTCTATTTTGAAGTTTCTCACTCTTAATAATGTGTGAGAAATAGACACCTAGTAATGTGCCTTTAAAAATTACACACTTTCTTATTTCTCCCTATTCTTAGAATATTCAACTTTCAACTTAGTAGTTTTCTCTGCTTTTTTACTCAAACATAATTCATATTTATCACTCTACAATTATCTGATTCTACTGAATTTGTGCTGGGTAGACAAAAATAACAGGTGATTTATGAAAAATGAACTTAAAGCATAAAGTAGACAAATGGTGTTGGACCACTATCTTACATTATACACAAAAGTTATCTCAAAATGAATTAAAGACCCAAATACTTAAAATACATAAAAGAAAATATAGGTTAAAAACACACCTCTTTCAATGATATAAATTTCAGGGACATCTTCAATATTCAATTCTATTGGCATGAAAATCGAAAATAAAAGATGGGAGTATATCAAACTGAAAAGCTTTGATGCAAACTAAAATTACTAAAAATATTAATTATATTAATCGCAGAAAATATTTTGTAGACCATTCATAAGATAAAATGTTAATATCCAAAATTTATAAGGAACACACAAAACTCAACATAAAAACAAACAATGTCACAAAAAAGGGGGAGAGGAAACAGAACAAACGTTTTTCCAAAGACATACAGATGACTACAAAAAAGTTTAAAATGGCACATAACAATTCTCACCATCACTGAATATCAGTGAAATGCAATTAACAGAACACTGAGATATCACCTTATACCACTGAGAATGACATTATCAGAAAAATGCAGAATAAACAAGTGCTAACATGGATAGAGGAAAGGATCCCTTGTACAGATGGTAGGAATATAAATGGGTTCGATTTTAGTGGAAAACAATTTAGAAATTTCTCGATTTGCTCGAGCGGGCCCAGTAACGTCTCCATTGGAGACTTTGTTGTTACTGTGTCTGGCATATCGAATACTCTCGGTAGCTTGCCGGGCTCTCCAAGAGGGGCGGAGGAATCGAACTCGGGTCAGCCATGTTGGCCGCATGTAAGGCGAACGCCCTACCCGCTGTGCTATCGCTCCAGCCCTGATATTAAAATTAGAAATAGCTTTGTTTTTGAACTAATGGTGGAGAGGCTAGAATATTCAGGGAAAGGGATGTAAAGGCTTATTTCAGGAGTCAACCACCAATTTTTACTCAAACCCCAACTTATATAGAAATGGAAAGGAGACCTGAAAGTGAGGATTGAAATCAGGCCAAAGATCAATATTATACAAGAACAACTGTCCTTGCCCTAAAGCCTAAATATAAGGAAAGTTTGTTCTCAGCTTACCCTTCCTCTAAAACCTAACTCTCACTTTGTTTATGTATTCAGACAAGATAGTGTACCACACAGAACCAGTCCATGAGGGATTTTGTTGCTCATTCCGGTATTCATTGGTCTACAACCCACCCTTGCTATCTGTTAGTTCCTCATAGAAACCCCTTCTTATAACCAGGCAGACAAAAACCTTCCAACACACCACTTGTTGCCAATAAAGTTCTTCCCCAACCTGTCAGAAAAACAAAACCAAAAAGCTACACATGATCCAAAATTTTTGCTCTTTGGTATCTATCCCATGAACACAAAAGCACTAATCTTAAAAGATATGTGAAGGGGCTGGAGTGATAGCACAGGGGGTAGGGTGTTTGCCTTGCACCTGGCGACCCAGGTTCGATTCCTAGCATCTTGGGTGGTCCTCTGAGCACTACTAGGAGTAATTCCTGAGTACAGAGCCTGGAGTAACGCCTGTGCATCGCCAGGTGTGATTCCCCCCCAAAAAGGATATGTGGATAGCTATGTTGATTTTGTCACTATTTAAAACAGCCAAGATCTGCAAACAAACACATTGGGTGGGAATATTTCCACTCGGATTCTCGGCTGCAGAACGGCGGCGGCGGTTCTGGGGTAAGCTCAGCCACACACTGACCCGGACCCCCGCCGCAGACATGGCTCCCCACGCTTTGTGAAGGCTTCTGGGGAGGTCCGGCACTGCGGAGGGTGGGCGACACAGGACACACCAGCCCATCCATCCTTCTCTTCCCGTCTCAACCCATGCCGGTGGGGCCCTGGCCCGAGGATCCAAGTCGGGATTCCGGGCCCGGCTCAACCATGGGATGCACCCCCGACTGGGACCCCCCAAATATCCACTCCGGCGGCATGTTTACCCCAATCTGGTACCGGGAGCGCCGCAAGCAGCAATACTGCACACACAGACCTGTCCCTGCGTGAGACCCCCGGTTCAAGGCATTTCCAAACTACATCATTTGATTTTCCTTCCTTTATAAATCTATAGCACTTGACTCTTGATTCCACATGCTGTAATCCAGTCATATTTTTCCTTATGTTGTATTGTAGAAGTTTTGTCTTCTGAGACAACAAACTTCACATCTGACTCTGTTATTTCCACACCAACCAGCAAAGGACTAGGGACCTATCAAGTCTTTAATGAACACCTTCAAATATTTATATTTATTTTACAAGGATATAATTTTCCATAAGTTTTATTATTATAATGTTGCCACATCACATCCACTATAAAAGTGGTAATAAACTTTTGCTACTGTTTTTTCCTTATCTAAGTGAAGGTGATAAAAAGTAAGGCCCAAAAGATTTTATTAGGAATCAGAGGCAACAGGCTGGAGCTATAGCACAGTGGGTAGGGTGTTTGCCTTGCATGCGGCTGAGCTGGGTTCGATTTCCAGCATCCAATATGATCCTTTGAGCACCGCCATGACTATTTCCTGACTGCTGAGCCAAGTGTGATCCAAAAAGAAAAAAATCAGAGGAAATATTTAAGCTCAGGGCTCCAAAATATCCCTTATGAACATCAGGTTAGTTAATAAAAACGTTTTCAAAATATTTCTCAACCCCAGTAATAATCTACTCCAAAATGGTGTAATATGGGCCACCTCCCACCTTAAATCTGAGGAAATGCACTGGATTAAGATTAGACAGGTTCTCAGTGGTCCTGATGGTTGCTTTTTAAAAGAGCTAAACGTTTTTTAGGTGTTAATAATAATTGCCTGATTGTTTTTTGGGTTTCCATCTTGTTAATCTCTGCTCTGAATTTTATTATTTGCTTCCTCCTGTTCGGATTGGGCTCATTTTGTTGGTCATTGTACACGCTCTTAAGATGTGAGGTTAGGTTACTTATGTAGGCTTGCTCTTCCTTCCTGAGCAATGTTTGTAGAGCTATAAACTCTTAACACCGCTTTTGCTATGTCCCATAAGTTTTGGTAACTCGTGTCCTCATTTTCATTCATTTCCAGGAATCTATTGATTTCCTCTTTGATTTCCTTTCTAAGCCACTCCTCCAAAAGTGAACTGTTTAATTTCCAGGTGTTTGATTTAGTTTTCTGTTTGTGTGTGTGATTTACTTGTAATTTCAGTGCATTATGGTCTGAGAAGATTGTTGATACAATCTCTATCCTTTTACTTTCATGGAGGTATGTTTTGTGGCTCAGCATGTGGTATATCTTGGAGAATGTTCCATGCACACTTGAGAGAATGTGTATTCAGTTTTTTGAGGGTGAAGTGTCCTGTATATATCTATTAAGTCCCTTTCTTCCATTTTTCCCTCAGATGAAGTATGTCCTTGCTAAGCTTAAATCTGGTTGATCTAACAAGAGGGGATAAAGTGGTGTTGAAGTCTCCCACTAGTATTGTGTGGCTATCAATGTCTTTCTCCAAGTCTATGAGTAGTTGATTTAAGTATTTTGCTGGTCCCTCATTAGGTGCATATACAGTAAGTATTTAAAGTTCTTCCTGTTGTACAGATCCCTTGAATAATAAGAAATGGCCTTCACTATCTCTTGTGACCTTCAATCTTAAAGTGGTCTGATACTAAGATGGCTATCCCAGCTTTCTTATAGGGGTTGTTTGCCTGTAGGATTTTTTCCAGCCTTTTAATTTAATCCCGTGTTTATTTTGACTATTGAGATGTGTCTCTTGCAGGCAGCAGAATGTTGGGTTCAATTTTCTAATCCATCCTGCCACTCTGTGTCTTTTAATTGGTACGTTTAGCCCATTGACATTGAGAGAGATTATTGTTATGGAGTTTTGTGTCACTTTTATGTTGAAATTTGATGTATTTGAGGGACCTGTATTGTCTTAAAGTAGCCCATTTAATTGTTCTTGTAACCATGGTTTTGAGACTATGAAGTTCCTGATGAAGTCACGAAATTTACATACAAGTGGTACTACATGGAAAGTATCATGCTAAGCGAAATGAGTCAGAAAGAGAGTGACAGACATAGAAAGATTGCATTCATCTGGGGAACATAAAGTACAAAATTGGAGACTAACACCCAAGAGTGGCCGAGATTAGCACCAGGAGGTTCACTCCATGGCTTAGAGGTCAGCTGCATGTGCTGGGGGAAAAGGCAGCTCAGATAGAGAAGGGAGCACCAAATAAAGGGTGTTGGGAGAATCCTCCCAGGATGGGAGATGCATGCTGAAACTAGACTACAGACTGAACATGATTGCCACTCAATGCCTCTTTTGCAAACCGCAGCACCCAAAAGGAGAGAGAGAACAAAAGGGAATGCCCTGCCACAGAGGCAAGATGGGATGTGGGGGATGGGGGGAGGGGAACTGGGATTAGTGGTGGTGGAAAATGGGCACTGGTGGAGGGATTGGTACTCATACATTGTATAATTGAAACCCAAGAACAAAAATTTGTATGTCTACAACTGTACCTTATGGCATTTCATTAATAAAAAAAATTGCCTGGGCTTAATAAGATCAGGATTTCTAGATATTCTCCAATTATTATGAGATTTAAAAGCACACCAGTCTAGTGGTTTGAGGTCAGAATGGCATTTTGAGAGACTGATACTTCTGTATCTGTTCCTCTGTTATTCGAGGTAAAGGTTTTAACCTATCACTTCTTATTTATCCATTTGTAAATAAGCATATTTTGTACCACACAGTATCTAGTAAGCATTTTATAATTCTAGGTGCAAAAATATTTTATTTATTTATTTATTTATTTTTCTTTTTATTTTTTTATTAGTGAAACACCACGATGTACAGTTATAGAATTACAAAGTTTTGTGCTTAGGTTTCAGTTATATAATGATCACGTACACATCCCTCCACCAGCGCGCATCATCCACCACCACAGGTCTCAGCATCCCTCCCACCCCCTATCCCCCCAATCCCACCCTGCCTGTGTGGCAGGCATTCCCTTTTGTTTTCTATCTCTCTTTTTGGAATCTGTGGTTTGTAAGAGAGGCATTGAGTGGCAATCATGTTTGGTCTGTAGTCTACTTTCAGCATGATTCTCCCATCCTGGGAGGATCCTTCCAAGACCCTTTATTTGGTGCTCCCTTCGCTATCTGAGCTTCCTTTTCCCCTAGCACGTGTGGCTGGCCTCCAAGTCATGGAGCAAAATTACTGGTACTAGTCTCAGCCACTCATGGGTGTCCAATTATGTTACTTTATGTTACCCAGATGAATGCAATCTTTCTTTGTCTATCCCGCTTTTTAAAAAAATTTTTCTTATTAGTGAAACACCATGAGGTACAGTTGTAGATTTACAAATTTTTATGCTTGGGTTTCGTTTATACACTGATCAAATACCCACCCTTCCATCAGTGCCCACTTTCTGCCACCATGGATAGTATCCCTCTCCCCCATCCCCCCCATCCCACCCTGCCACTGTGGCAGGGCATTCCCCCCTGTTCTCTCTATCCTTTTGGGTGTTGTGGTCAGCAAAAGAGGCATTGAGTGGCAAACATGTTCAGTCCATAGTCTACTTTCAGTCTGCATCTCCTCTCCTGGGAGTATCCTCTAAACACCCTTTATTTGGTGCTCCCTTCTCTATCTGAACTGCACTTTCCCCTAGAATACCCGGCTGGCCTCTAAGCTATGGAGTAATCCTCCTGGTGTTGATCTCAGCTATTCTTGGGTATTAATCTCATATTTTGTTATTTTATATCCCCCAGATGAATGTAATCTTTCTATGTCTATCCCTCTCTTTCTGACTCATTTCGCTTAGCATGATACTTTCCATATTGTACCACTTGTATGTAAATTTCATGACTTCATCTTTTCTAAGAGTTACATAGTACTCCATTGTGTAGATGTACCAAAGTTTCTTTAACCAGTCATCTATTCTTGGGCACTCAGGTTTCTTCCAGTTTCTGGCTATTTTAAAGAGTGCTGCAATGAGCAAACAAGTGCAGATGTCACTTCGACTATACATTTTTGCCTCTCTGGGATATATTCCCAGAAGTGGTATTGCTGGGTCAAATGGGAGCTCAATTTCTAAGTTTTTGAGAAACGTCCATAATGTTTTCCAAAAGGGCTGAACCAGTCGGCATTCCCACCAGCAGTGGAGGAGTGTCCCTTTCTCGCCACATCCACGCCAGCATCGGTTGCTTTTGTTCTTTTGAATGTGGGCCAGACTCTGAGGTGTGAGATGATATCTCATTGTGGTTTTGATATGCATCTCCCTGATGATTAATGATGTAGAGCATTTTCTCATGTGCTTTTTTGCCATTCGGATATCTTCTTTGAGAAAGTTTCTGTTCATTTCATTGCCCCATTTTTGATGGGGTTGGACGTTTTCTTCTTGTGGAGTTCAACCAGTACTTTGTATATCCTTGATATCAACCCCTTGTAAGATGTGTATTCGGCGAATATTCTTTCCCATTCTGTAGACTGTCTTTGTATTTTGGTCACTGTTTCTTTGGAGGTGCAGAAGCTTCTTAGTTTAAGATAGTCCCATTTATCTATCTCTGCTTTCACTTGCTCAGCCAGTGGCATGTCATCTTTGAAAATACCATTAGCCTCAATGTCATGGATGGTTTTGACAACTTTGTCTTCAATGTACCTTATGGTTTCTGGTCTGATGTTGGGGTCTTTAATCCATTTTAATCTTACTTTTGTACATGGTGTTA